CAGTCACACCATGCACATCTCGTGTGACACACACCCCTGTTATCAGGGTACGTGTAACCTCGCTACAGTGCACGGGGTATCTCTAGGTTAAATCTGATGAGCACCAAAGCCCGCAATTTGGTCATTGCCACTTAAGCTATATGATGCGTACATTCTTGTAGCTCCACCGATTGATCGCGTCAAAATCTTTTCTCATGAATTGAGCAAGCTAAGCTTTAGTGCACTATAGTTATTGAATACTTCATCACCCTTTAGCCCAGGTATAGCACGACAAAGCTTAACGAATTTTGTGAGATATTGCATTCTTGCGGTCAATTCGCTAAGGACTACAATGTAATCAACACTGGAGGGCAGATAATGATTCCTACATTTGCTGATTAATGATTGCGGTTATTGTAGCCAGACACAAAATCGTTTGATCCACAAAGTATTTTGTTACGCCCAATCTCATTATAAATGAATTTATTATTTGATCTATATACTCATGATAGAAATTCGACTGCAAAGTCTCTAAGCAAATTGCGAGTATTGTTCGACAAAGTGCTGATTCGCTGATGTTACCATCAATGACAAGGTAAATGCAGGAAAAGATTGTCGCAAATCGACTCTAGTAGTTCAAAAAAGCAATAAAAAATCCTAAAAGACGTTTTGTCACGCTCACAAAGCAAACAACATCTCACAATTCACTTCAGCGAAAATAGTCACCACGAGCAATCCAGCGCGCTTGAGTGTCAGCCTCAAGGTGCCAAACTAGTATGCACGATAAATGGCGATCCATTAAACTTCATTAACAAGCGCGATTCCTTAGTTTTGAGAAGTCAAGGAGCTTCCACTACGCTCCAGGATGGAAGAGATTGGTCTTTTTTCGCAAGATTTTTTGGCTGTTGGAGGAAGTGCACGAACAATTCCTTCAGAAGCGCAAATCATGTAGCCAACAGAGCCGCCGCCGGTAAAAATTCAAAGCGCCTTTGTATTTCTTTGTGTGGGTCTAAAAACTGCCTCTTTGATCCGTATCCTGATCATTTTGCAGGCCAATCCGGGAAA